GTTTGAAACTAGTCTAATTATTTGGAATGAATTTACAAACATGAATAATACTCAGAAGAACCTTCCCTGAGTGTAGAGAGGTTGGGGGAAAATGCTCAATTTTAACAAACTTAAATATGTATTATACTTATATGTGTATTCTGTATCCTAGTTAGAATTCAATATGTAAATTAACAATAAAGTTATATTCTTCATTTAGACTAGTTTATAGTATTGTACAATCAGTTTGAGGGCTAGGAAAACTCATATACATGAAATATAGGGAAAACTCACATATTGTGTTGTATCTTACTCAAATTTTGCTCATTTTACTTTATGTTTTCTGGAATATGAAAGACGCTTCAAAAGTATATTTTTTACAACTTAGATCATGTAATTTGGTTAAGTATCAGTTGAGTTATGATAGATTTTGTATTTGAGTGTACTTAGTGTGACGAAAATCACAAATCGTGCGTGTGACAATATTTATGAAAACGACAGTAAAATACCAGGGAAGTTTCGATCGGCATAGTGCAGAACAAACCGGCAGCATTCGATCGTTTGTTGTAACAGTTTCGCAAGTGTCTGTTGCAATCTCTTGGTCTTATCGGGTAGTGAATCAGCATTGGTTACGAAGGTATATGCACCTTCCATGGCATGAACAAGGTCGACGAGCTTCCGATCGGTCTCGATCTGGTGAGAGATAGCCTAGACCACACGGTTAATATTGGCAGATCACAATAAGTCGGATCAAATCAAAGATACCTTATGCAATGCGGACACTAGCTGCCAGGTCGCGTTCACATATGGATGGAGCTGTTAGTGGTCAGCGTAGCTTTTGAAAGCAATGCAACTTAGGGACAAACGTTGGATAACCTATCAACGAAACGGACAAGTACGTCGATCTTTTGTATGAGAGCCCATATCGACTTTCCTAGATTTCTCTCTTCATTAAACGACGATACTCCTTGACCCATTGCGTTTAGAGCATCGCTGCGGTGTTCTAGCGGACGTATTGCCTGATTTACATTATTGACATCAGGACAGATGTGCACAGGCGTGATGGATGTGTTCAGCAAATGAACAATTAAGGTTGGTATTCCATAATTCTTCCCCACGGGTACAACGAGAGGAAGAGGAGCTGTAGTCACGTTAAGGTGCGCAACGTGTGGACAGGGCGACAAACAAATCTCACTCGG